CAATAGTAGCAGTAGTAGTAGTAGTAGTAGTAGTAGTAGTAGTAGTAGTAGTAGTAGTAGTAGTTGTCGTAGTAGTAGTAGTAGTCGTCGTCGTCGTCGTAGTAGTGATAGAAGAAGCAGTAGTAGTAGCAGTAGTAGTAGTCGTAGTCGTTGGCGTTGTCGTAGTCGTAGTCGTTGTCGTAGTCGTAATCGTAGTCGCAGTCGCAGTCGTAGTCGTAGTAGTAGTAGTAGTAGTAGTAGTAGTAGTAGTACTAGTGGTAGTAGTAGTAGTAGTAGTAGTAGCAGCAGTAGTAGTAGTAGTAGTAGTAGTAGTAGTAGTAGTAGTAGTAGTGGTGATAGTACTAGTACTCCAAGCAGTATTACTAGTAGTAGTAGTAGTAGTAGTAGTAGTAGTAGTCGTAGTAGTCGTAGTCGTCGTAGTAGTAGTAGTAGTAGTAGTAGTAGTAGTCGTAGTCGTAGTCGTAGTAATTATTATTAGTAGTAGTCGAGTATAGTAGTAGTATAAGTAGTAATTAAGTAGTTAGTAGTAGTATAGTAGTAGTACAGTAAGTAGTAGTAGGTAGTATACTCAAAAATAGTCCGTAGTAGTAGTAGTAGTAGTTTGAAAGTAGTAGTAGTAGTAGTCTAGTAGTCGTAGTAGTAGTAGCAGTAAGTAGTAGTAGTAAGTAGTAGGTAGTAGAGTAGTAAGTATAGTAGTATCGAGTAGTAGTAGTAGTAGTAGTAGTAGTAGTCGTCGTCGTCGTTCGTCGTCGTATTTGTTATTATTAGTTGTAGTCGTAATGCTAGTAGTAATAGTAGTATAAGTAGTAAGTAGTAAAGTAGTAAGTCGTATTGTAGTAGTAGTAGTAGTAGTGTAGTCGTATAGTCGCTCCCCTGCAAGGTCGAGTAGTAGTAGGAGTGGGTAGTAGTAGTATCGTAGTACTAGTCCGTAGTAGAAGTAGCCGTGTAGTGTAGCGTGTAGAAGTATGTAGTAGTAGTAGTAGTAGTAGCATTATAGTAGTAGTAGTGGTGTGGTGGTGGTGGTGGCGGTGTAGAGTAGTAGTCAGTAGTAGTAGTAAGTAGTATAAGTAGTAGTAAGTAGTAGTAGTAAGAGTAGTAATAGTGGTAGTAGTATTAAGTAGTAATAGCTAGGTAGTAGTATAAGTCGTAAGTAGTAATTAGTAATAGTAGTAGTAGTAGTATAGTAGTAGAATAGTAGTAGTATTGTAGTAGTAGTAGCAGAAGTAGACAGTAGTTCGTAGGTAGTAGTAGTAGTAGTATAGTATTAGTAGTAGTAGTAGTAGTACTAGTCTTTCGTATTTGTAGTAGTGATAGTAAGTGATAGTAGTAGTAGTAGTAGTAGTAGTAGTAGTAGTAGTAGTAGTAATAGTAGTGGTAATAGTAGTAGTAGTCGTAGTAATAGTGCTAGTAGTAGTAGTCTTTTTAGTAGTGGAAGCTGTAGGAGGAGTCGTAGTAGTAGTAGTAGTAGTAGTAGTAGTCGTCGTGGTTGCAGTAGTAGTAGTCGTATTAGTAGTAGTAGTTGTAATAATATTAGTAGTAGTAGGAGTAGTAGTAGTCGTTGTCGTTGTCGTAGTAGTAGTAGTAGTAGTAGTAGTAGTAGTAGTAGAAGTAGTAGTAATCGTCGTCGAAGTAGTAGTGGTAGTAGTAATAGTGGTAGTGATAGTAGTAGTAGTAGTAGTAGTAGTAGTAGTAGTGGTAGTAGTAGTAGTGGTGGTAGTAGTAGTAGTAGTCGTCGTAGTCGTAGTAGTAGTAGTAGTAGTAATAATAATAGTAGTAGTCGTAGTAGTCGTGGTTGCAGTAGTAGTAGTAGTAGTAGTAGTAGTAGTAGTAGTAGTAGTAGTAGTAGTAGTAGTAGTAGGGGTGCACCTGGTCTTCGTGTCGCTACAAACCTCACCTTCGTGTACTCTTCTTTTGTACCAGGCTTAATAGAACTCCTACAATGGGAATTACGAAAACCGTAGTTTCAAACCTGGCCTTCGTGTCTTTCGCGCCAATGCCTACCTTCGTGTACTATTCGCTGTAGAAGCTGTAGATTGGATTCACATTAGAAAGTGAACAAAAGCGGCAGTTTTACACTTGTCCTTCGTGTCGACGTCGGATTTGGAGCAACCGCCACTGCCAGCCGCTTCATTTCGGCACAACCCTCTCGAGGATCGTGGGCCTGGCCCTCCGACGCGCGATTCCGGCGCGCACTTCACTAGATCGTGGCCCTGGTCCAAGTGGGAGCGCTGCCGAAGGCCCACCGACGTCCAATTCCAGCACGCCGCTCACGAGGATCGTGTCCTGGCCCACCTGGGATCGCTGCCGACGGCCCACCGATGAGCAAGATCGGCGCACCCCTCACACGGATCGTAGACCTCGCCACATTTGGATCGCCGCCCGACGCTGAAGTTCGGCACACCTCTCACATGGATCGTGGCCCTGGCCCACTGTGAAGCGCTGTCGACGGCCCACCGACGCCCAATGCGGGAACACCCCTCACGAGGATCGTGGCCCTCTGGTCCACTTGAGAGTGGGTTTTCATAAGGACGTCGTTCTGGTTTTATTCGGGAGCGCACTCTGGTTTTTATTCGTTTCTGCTTCGTCATGGTAAGGAGGAAGAGGAGGAAAAGGAGGAGGACGAGGAGGAGGAGGAGGAGGAAGAGGAGGGGGAGGAGGAGGAGGAGGGGAAGGAGGAGGATGAGGAAGAGGAAAGCGAGCAGGAAAAGAGGAACGCTGTTTGCTCGTTTTCCACAATGGGTTTGCGAACCTCACCTTCGTGTACTATTGGCTCTATAGCCCTTGTGTTGTTTTCTTACGAGCGAACGGCGAAATTATGGGTTTCCAACCCCCTTCTTCGTGTACTATTAGAATCAGTGGGCTTCCGAACTTCATCCTCGTGTACTATTAGGCCTATAGCCCTTGTGTTGTTTTCCTATCAGCGAATGGCGAAATTGTGCGTTTCCGAACTTCTGCTTCGTGTACGATTAAAATCAGACTATTCTATGTTATTATATTTGGTGCTATATGACGGTGTAGAACCCGAAACCGAACCCGAACCCGAACCCGAACCCTCAACCTTACCCTTACCCATTCATTCTTAGTAGACACGAAGGTGAAGTTGGACCCTAGTAGTAGTAGTAGTAGTAGTAGTAGTAGTAGTAGTACTAGTAGTAGTAGTAGTAGTAGTAGTAGTAGTAGTAGTAGTAGTAGTAGTAGTAGTAGTAGTAGTAGTAGCAGTAGTAGTAGTAGTAGTAGTAGTAGTAGTAGTAGTAGTAGTAGTAGTAGAGGAAGAGGAGGAAGAAGAAGCAGTAGTAGTAGTAGTAGTAGTAGTAGTAGTAGTAGTAGTAGAAGTAGAAGTAGTAGTAGTAGTAGTAGTAGTAGTAGTAGTAGTAGTAGTAGTAGTAGTAGTGATAGTAATATTTGTAATCGCAGTAGTGGTAGTAGCAGTAGTAGTCGTCGTAGTCGTAGTCGTAGTAGTAGTAGT